TGGATAACTACTTCTTATTTGAGATATCATAGATGTTGGATTGCACATTTTTTTTTGCACTCAAAAATCAAAATATGGCTTGTAATTGTTAAGTTATAGTAGTCTTGATCTAAATAGAATTTTATTTATTTATTTTTTTTATCTAAATGATATTTGTTGTGTAAAATTTATTGTGTTATGTAGTTATGGATCGTAAATGGGTTTATGCTCCCCGAACAAGTTTAGAATATGAAAATGGAGTAAATGAGTTCTTAGAGTTTGCTAGCACGCATGATCCTGACAGTAACGGGAAGTTCTTATGTCCGTGCGTGAATTTTCTAAATGAGAGGAGATTAAGTGCTGATCAAATTCGAGAGCATGTGGTTTGCGATGGTTTCAATAAGGGTTACACCAAATGGATATGACATGGTGAATTTGAAATGCCGAGTGGGCCAAAAAATGAAGAAGTTGATAAAGATATGTATGATCGAGTAGAAGACATGATTAATGATATTGGAGCTGAAGTCTTTGAGCAAGTATACACAAGCGGAGTGTGTGAGACCTTGTCGACGAATGCAGAAAAGCCTTTGTACAAAGACTGTGAGAACTTTTCACGTTTGTCCGTTGTGTTAAAACTAATCACATTGAAGGCCTCAAATGGGTGGAGCGATAAGAGTTTTACGGAATTGCTTGGCTTGTTAAAAAGTATGCTTCCTGAAGACAATGAATTGCCAAACTCTAATTATGAGGCCAAGAAAATTCTGTGTCCGTTGGGTTTAGGGTATAAGAAAATTCATGCATGCCCTAATGACTGTATTTTGTACAGAAATGAGTACAAAAGTCTTCATGAGTGTCCGATGTGTGGGGTTTCGCGGTACAAAAAGGAAGTTCACACAAAGTCCAATGCTTGTAAGATTACAAACAGACCACCAGTAAAAGTGTTGTGGTATCTTCCTATAATTCCACGATTCAAACGTCTTTTTGCTAGTGCAAAGGAGGCAAAGAATTTGAGATGGCATGCTAATGAGAGGATAGACGATGGTCTGCTCCGACATCCCAGTGATTCCCCTCGATGGAAGAAAATAGACCACTTGTTTCCTTCCTTTGGAAATGAGCCAAGAAACATTAGGCTCGGTCTTTGTACGGACGGGATAAATCCATACGGTAGCCTAAGCAACAAGCACAGTGCATGACCAGTTTTATTCGTTGTTTATAATTTGTCTCCCTTATTGTGCATGAAGCGCAAGTACATCATGTTGTCTATGATGATCTCGGGGCCGAAACAACCGAGAAATGACATAGACGTCTATCTGCAACCACTAATTGAAGATTTGAATATGTTATGGGAGGAAGGCGTTGATGTATTTGATGCATACAAACAAGAATCATTTAAGATGCGTGCTATGATTTTTTGCACGATAAATGATTTTCCTGCTTATGGAAATTTGTCCGCTTATAGTGTTAAAGAGCATAATGCATGCCCAATATGTGAAGAAGGCGCTTGCTTCCATCAGCCCGAACATGGGAGAAAGACGGTGTACCCTGGTAGTCGAAAGTTTTTGAAGCTGGACCACCCATACCATCGATTGAGAAAAGCATTTAATGGTCGTACCGAGTATGAAAGTGCTCCAGATGCGTTGAATGGCGAACAAGTCTTTGATAGAGTTAAAAACCTCAATCTGAGGTACGGTAAAACACAAAAGCCAGCCGAGAGAAGCTTATGGAAAAAGAGATCT